TCTTATCGTATGCCTTTCCACTCTCACTTCATTTGGATCTAAACATCTAACGAGACAAAAATCTACTTTTCAGTACTATGTAATATAATATGCAATACGGTAATACATATAGACAAACTGAAATATAGATCTCGCTTTACTCGGTCGGCAACATTTTACGATGCATACATTGCCTACTACACTCCTTACTAGCGTATTATACCATTTTATTTATAAATATTATTTGTATTTGAATTTCACTTTACTGCTTTTTTTATGTTAGTATGGAATTATTCACGCTTCAGCGCAAACTGTACTGATAAATCAAGGTACACTTCGCACCGAAGATTGTTGATTGTAATTAAGTCAGACATTCTAGTAGCAGAATATTAATTGGCATGGAGGAAAAATATACTTAATACTCGTATAAAAAAGAGAACCTGACTAACTGAAACTATTTTATTTGTAAGCTGATTAGCTGAAAGATAGTCACGTGATCAGCTATTCTAAACTATTATATGTTGTGTACGAAAGATTACCGTAAATAATTAAATATTTGAAAAGTGCATCAATATAGCGGGCATGAATTTCATATGAATTGATCGCTTTAATCATACTAACCTCAAAATAATAACCGACTGTTTCCTCCGTAAACCAATTAATTGAATTTTTCTCTATGCAAAAGTTTAAATTAAAAATAAACAAAGTTCACCGTAAAAGATATAAATTAGCAGATTATCACGATAAAATATTGTACAGTTTCAGCTAAGTAAATTATTAGAACATTTTTTTGAAAAAACGCTAAATAAAACTATGAACGTTCTATACCGAAGTATGTTATTTATACTGAGAAGGATATGATTATAAAAACTATAATGTTTTTAGAACTTAAATACATTTGTTATCGTGTTTTTCAAACTTTTGAATGAAGGTTTTTTAACACAAAACTTGGGATGATAAAAACTTCATTGATAATATTTTGAAATCATGAGTATTTAACTGCATATTTATTTATCAATAAATAATATCATCGATCATATCCCATATAAAATCAAAGGAATATCTAATGCATATTGAATTTTCGAATGTTCTATTTCGCCAATAAAAATGTGATCTATATTTGTGCATTAAAATGAATGTAAAGAAAAAAAGGAGTGCACGAAGCGCGCTAAACATCACTAGTAGGAATATGAATTGGTATAGTTTGTTCATATTTTGATAGTGAAGCTGAGTACGTAAAAGAATATTATTCATGAAGCTTTTCGGCGAAAAATATCTACAAAACTATTGAAGTATTTCAACAATATGATACAAATATAACCGATCATATCTATGCAAAAGAGCAAACATTGGACCTATGACATTTTCTAGCAAATCTGGATTCTTATTGTTTTCACGTTCTGCGCGAGAAATTTCGAAAGATGTACTAATAGTGAATACAAACGGTCAACTCACAAGTAAACGACACGAGAGTCAGCCGTAATTCCTCTTTTAACAGTTCTCATCATTGCGTACTGTGTTTCATGTCTTTTTTATTCTGTACCATTTATTGTTTTTTATTCTTAATTAATTACACTTATTGTTTTTGTTACTGTACCATTGTTATTGTACCATTTATTGTTATTTATTATTAATTAATTACACTTTTATAGTGAAAACAACAAAAACGATTTTATACACGTCAAAATAAAATAAATATTTTTCAAATTATTCTGAAAGAACGAAAATATAGTCTCATAATTGATGGTAAATTTGATGAAGATTTTTCAAAATGACAGAAAATGGAATATTTATTAACAATCTCTAATTCTTTTTCAAGATATCTATGAAAGTTACATTTCTTGATATCAGTAATGAAACAAATGTCGAATTTTAAGAAAAATATATGTATGACTAAGCGACCACAATTTTTTAAATAAAATTTTAAAAAATATGCAGCATTATAGTAGTCACAACAGAAAAATTCAATTCAATTTATAACAGAAGATATTTAATTTTTTTATTACGTGATTTACAATAATGCTAGACCAGTGTACAAGAATATATTTCCTCTGATGGGATACAATATTTTGTAATGTATGTATATTTATTGCTAACCATGTAAATTATGTCCTTACTTCGGTAAATAAATAAATAAATAATATTTTATGGCTATTTTAAGCAATTTGGAGAAAGTACGATCGCCACAGTCCTTTTAGTAAACTATATTTCTTAACGAAGAAATCGAGATTCCGCTAATATTTGTACGTCTCTCCCTATGTTTAATAATTAATAAAAAAAAGGAAGATGTTTTTATAAGACATAGTACATCAATATTTTTTTCAAAATGTAATTAGTAACTTTTATGTGTTTGAAAGTACAATTTTGATTATATTGAAAATCAATATTGTGTAAACTGTACGGATAATTAAATTTTAATGGTCGTTTGTAATAATTGAAAAAATATTTAATCGATTTTTATGTGTACAAAAGTGTTTTGAAAGTATTTTTTACATAAAATCACCTGTTTCTTGCTTATTGATTATCTACAGAAACTTTTTTTCGCTTCAGAAGAAATATTCTTAATATATACCATATTTTCCAATATTCCCCAGTATTTCTTCCCGGTGAATATTTCACCCGTTTACAATTGATAGTTTCAGTACATTGTCTAGATTAAAAAATAAGCGTAAAAGTACAATGTTAGTCAATAAAATAGGGCCACCAGTGACTAAAATCAGGTAAGATTCAAAGTTTTGTGTCATAGCTAAAAACGGTCGCACAGACATCAGCGAATGTTCATTTTGAAGGTCTTCGTAAGTGCTTTTTGATAATTTAATTTAAAGTTTAGTTAAGCTAATTTTAAACTTTTAATTACGTTGAAATGGACGTTGAGAAAATGAAATATTTCAAGTTTTGATAATTTAATATAAAGTTTTGTTAACCTAATTTTAAACTTTTAATTATGTTGAAGTGGACGTTGAGAAAATGAAATATTTCAAGTTCTGTTCAAACCCGCACAATCCAATAAGTAGTCCATTCCGCACATGTTTTTCCATCCAATCTGTCCCTTTCAAGCTTCTTTCAAGAATTTAAGAATCCTTTATTTTTTTTCTAACTTAAAAACTAACCGAGTTACGATGATTTTTGTTAAAAAAATAGTATATTTTTAGAGCTTTTGTATTTTTTATAGTAACTAACATACAACATATATCCAGATAGAAAAACAGTTGTTTTTTTCATAAAGAATCAATATACATTTTTGCAGAATTTTTTTAAAAAAGGTACTTACGAATACCTTCACAATGAGCACTCGCTGATGTCCGTACGACCATTTTTAGCCAAGATACAAAATTTTGAATCTTACCTGAGTTTAGTCACTGGTGGCCCTACTTTATTGACCACCACTGTATATTAAAATTAAAGCGTTTTATACGTTTTAAAATTCGATATAAACAAATGAAAACTTCCAATAAATTGATTATTATTGCATTTTACTTGCGTTTTGTAATTATATTGGGGATTATAAATATGTAGCTAAGGGAATGTTATGTATATATACTCTATATTTATATTTACCTCAATGTATGAGTGCCTGCATGAATTTGTCTGGAAAGGATTAATATAAACGACTATAGATTTTTTATGTTTTTTTTCTGAATTTTATTCTAAAAATTTAATTTTGGAAAATATATTTTTAATAAAAATTAATTTAAATATTTATATTTTATTATTATTAAGAACTTTAGACTGTAATATATAAATTTCGTTTACTTTTACTATTTAATGAAAAATAAAGTTTTTACCTAATGACTTTTTGTACATATTTAAAAGGACCAAATAGTGTTAAACTGGGAAGATGGAAAGTTTTCTTGCTAGTATCTTAAAACTTTTCTGATAAAAATATCGCTGTAAATCTTTTTTTACCTCAAAGTATTCGAAATAAGCTTTAATATTGATAGTTAGAAGTCTTTAAATTTCAAGTATATACCCAGCAAAGTCATTGTGTAGATATAATTTCATTTATGGAAAATATTTTACATCTTGCACGATTTTACACATCAGAATGAACTAAAAATCTTTTGTAAAGGCTTATTTTTTACTAGGGTTTATACTATGAAATGAGCGGAGCTTTAGTTTCAAAAAATTGATTTATCATGTTTCAAAATTTGTTTGTCGAAAAATTGTCCAAATATGTTTTCATCAAATTTGGAAAACTAATGTTAAAATAGGGGTAAATAAATTTATTGAAAAAATGCTTCGCTTATCTTACAGTATAAATTTTAACAAAAAAAATTAGCCTTTAAAAACGTTTTTCTTCTCACTCTAACATTAAGAATCGTACACGGCACGAAATATTTATTTTTATCAGAAAGGTTTGAACATATCATTAAAGAGAACTACCAAGTTTTTCTGTTTAACACTGATTGATCTTTTTAATATTTTAGAATAATAATCATAAATTTCTTTTAGCGAACGTTGAACTAAATAAGTATAGGAAAGGAGAGCTTTAAAGTTCAAAATTAAAGATTTCTTGAATCTCGACCGTGTAAAATAAGCTACAAAATATCTGATCTATTGCAATAATTCTGTGGCTTGAAATTTTATTACTTTGAGTTTAAGTATTCATTGATTTATCAGAAACTCTATATAGCAATGCAATATGAACTGTTTGCGAATATAATATTAATCAAATTAGTATCATGTATGCAGTGAGAAAAAGATTAATAAAATTATAAAAGTTATTTGAACGAATAAAATATATGGTAATTGATGAAGAACCAATGAAGGTAGACTCTTTCGTTATTCGTAAAAGTTATATAAAATAAATACCAAATAACGGCTTTTGCAACTTTACCTCGAATCGAATCGAAAAAGTCGAGTTTGTTACATAAAATAGACAATTATAGTTAAATACTCTAGCTTTACAAAATATTTTAAAGTCATATAATATTAAGAAATAACTCAAAAAAAATGTTATGTAGCATTCTTGTTGGTAACTTATTGCTATAATAAAATATTTGGTTTTCATTATAAAAGAAATCGCGATTAATCCCCTGTTTCGTTTGTAATTGATACAGCATATAAGAATTATTTAAATGTAGAACATGCTTTTGGGCAGAACGTAGGTAGAAATACTATAGAGAAGCGAAGCATACCAATGTACGCCCTGGGTTGTATTGTCAGCTCTAGTGTTGGGAATCGTATTAACAATTTGACGAGATGAGCTAGATTTTAGTAACAGATGACGTCGTAAGCTCGCAAAAGTAGACTCAAATCCGCTCCATATTCTTAGCGGTAGGAAAGCAGCGTGTGCAAGGTTCTGACTGTCGACGAGAGCATAGCAAGAAGCTATAACATCATCAACAAGAATAGTGCCTGCCATGGTGAGCGGTGCATAAGCACCCTGCTCAAGGATCAATTTCGACTCAAGTACCTCGTCCCAGCCGAGGCTACTCGTGATATCGAGCCGAATGAGCAGACGATCACCAGGATGAACGTGCGCAGCAAACACAGTTCCACGACCATGTACAAGTAGCAGGTGCGTAGGCGTTAGTCTGATTGCTCGACCTGAACGAGTGTTTAATAGTACAAACTGTTGGCGCTTTCTCGGTGACCGATCAATGAAGGCTATCACTTCACTGAACAGGATCTTTCCGCTGTCAACGTCCATAGAAGCTACGAAATCGCCCAACCGTAGCTCCTCTAATCTGAACCGTCGGCCATCATAACCCAGTACTTGGCTCGATCCAGGAAAGCATCCGCCTGATTTGCCTGCTGATGATGACTCTGCAAATTTTACACATTTACTTGATTAATTTTTTTCCACATTGTTTCATAGTGTACATTATGATGAACATAAATCAGAAAAAAAGAGGAAGACAAAGAACAAAAAAGTGAAAAGAGAGAGAGAGAGAGAGAGAGAGAGAGAGAAGAATGAAAAGAAAACAAAAGAAAAAATTTCTTATGCATACCGGATTTTACTGAACAATGTATATGAGACCTAGATTCGTAGTAAACCCAATCAAAGCCAGCCTCAACGGCAAGCCTAGCAAGCATGCCGTACTTAGCTCGGTCTCGATCGCTTGTTGTCACGTCCACAGCGCGGCCTTCGTAATGAAGTGAATCTTGGGCGTGTTTTCCTTCCTCATCCCAGCCTTCGGTAACCCGCAACTTTACTCCGGGCCACTGGTTCATCACCGATATCGCCAATGTGTTCAATTTTTCTTTGCACCTCTGTGAAAATTCATATTAGAAAAAATTAACATTTGTACTTGTATACAAAAATAACATATTTTCAATTATGTTTCAAATAATAAAAGTGAAAATTATTGAACAATTCTTAATTATTTTTAAATATTTGTTGACAAAGAATTTTATGGGCGCAAATTAAGAAAAGAAGAGAGATCATGTCATAAAATACGGTACAAGAACAAAGTTCTATTCGGATACTAAAGAACAAAATTCTATTCGCTATTTATTAAATATTAATAATAAATTTTCGTTGAAATATTTTGTAAAAGAATTAATAATTATTAATCTCCTTTTCAACTGTTCAGAATTTCAATGGCGGCCTGAAGTAAGTATGACTAAGGGTCACAGCACACGTACACCAAGTATCTGAAGAATTTACATGAAACATTTTTTGTAGTTTTCGCATATTTATGACTGAATCATGTTGATGATTGAATGATTTAACTTATTTGTTCAGAAAAAAAAACTCTTAAAATGTAAAAGATCACCTGTAAATGAGTTTATTTAACCAATTTTCGTATTCCGTAGTCACAAAATATCTCGCGTGCACTAATATGTCCAAGAGAAAAAAGGTTAATTTTTATGTATTTTGAGTCGCTGAATCCGAATATGTCAGTCCTTTTTATGAAAAAATGGTACGTTTCATTTAAATCGCAATTTTTTAAAGAAATTATGAATAAATAATTTTTTAGCCGGGAATGACTTTTTTTATAATTTGATCCATTTTAAGAAGAAAAAGTTTCCTTGTTATTTTTTTATAAAGTTCTTATTTTGAAAGTTATAAATTTTCAAAAGGCGAAAATTTGACGTTTTTTCGAGGGGCTATTCAGTCTTGAGAATCAAATAACCTTGATCGCCTTGAAATCACGAAATCATTATGAAATCACTTCTAGAAAGCCGAACTGAAATAAATCAATATAATGCAAGAAATTGATGGTGAAATCAATGAAATCAAACGAAATCATGAAATCAGTTGCAATCCCTTTATTTTTATTTTTTATGATATATTAAAATACTAAGAAAGAAGGAACTGATGGAACTAAATACTAACTAACATGCACTCATGCGCTACACATAATGAACAGTATAGTAGCCACCAAACCAACGGCTGGCCGCAGCGACGGTGGCGATCAGTATGTATGAACTACATGCGTTCACATCTCTGCTCGCGCTATTGCTGAAATCCTTCTGAAAAAAGAATTACGCGATCTCGTGATCTACGTGTTTACATGGACTTGCATAGTCTTGTTTTGATTGTTTCAAATCGTTGACTCCTCATGCTTCGTCCTCTGCTCGGAGTTTTTGAGCAGTGAAGTCATCTAAACGCTGTAAGTGTCTCGATACCATACGATACTTTGCAGTTATCGATTTTGATCACCGTTCATTGGTGCGTTGTTCATAAATTTCTCAAGGCATTCAGAAAATTACGGAGTCAAAGTTTTGTCACCTCACACGTAAGTAAATTCAATTCAATAAAAAAGGTTACGATGATGTACATGCAGAGGCGCGCAGAGGCGTAATTGCAAGGTTAATCGGTTCCTTTTTATTGTTTTTTTTTAGATATATAAAAATCATTGAGATTGTCCTGGCGAATTCCAAGGTACATACGTAGTCCGTCTCTCCTTTGCTAACTGTCGAAACAACTGAAAGCGAGACTGAAAGTCAAGGTCCTAATGGTGATACTAAGAAAGCTCTCGAGAATCGAGCCATCGTCTGATCAAACCAACAGCTTCTAGGAAATCCTCTAAATGAAGAAAAACATACAGGTTCCAACTTAAATAAAAAATATTTTTAAATTGAATACTTTAGATAATATAGTCGCATTTACGAGTGTGAATGATGAAGCTACGAGAATGGGTTAATAAGTCCTTAGAAAAAGATAGAAAAACAATTTTTTTCTGGTAGATTTTTTTTATTTTTCAATATAATCTGCTTTTAGCTTGACACACTTTTTCAGGAGTCCCACAAGTTTTTTTAAGTCATCAGAAAAAAATAATTTTGGAAGTACCTCAAAATAGCCGATTGTTTGTATTATGACCTCCTCATTCAAGATGAATCATTGTCCGACAAGCCACTTTTTCAGATTTGGGAATAAAAAAAGTCACTAGGGGCTAAATCTGGTAAATACGGTGGGTGATTTACTAATTTTGCAAGAGTGGTCAGCCTCCGTGCGCCTTGGGCTGGTCTCTGCTAATTTTTTCTGGGTTCTTTTTCGGTAAAGAAAGCCGGCGCTGACTTTCACAGGCCGAAGTTCGCGCTGGTTGGGGAAGGTTGATACAAAGAATCGGACACTTTAATTCAATTACATTACATATGGCGATCTCATTTATTGACGCCTTTTCACAAATATCGCTACAAGATTAACTTCGCCGCGGCGAGCGCGCTCGCTCAGCCTTTCCGCGACCAGAGTTCGCGGGATCACGCGAGCGAGATCGCTCAGCGTGCACGATAAAATCAAAATACGCTAATGTCCGTAATCGAGCTAGAGCTGGCGCGAGAGAGATAGACAGGCTTTTGACCCACCGGATGCCGACGGTCCGTCGACAGAGAGGCGACGCCGGCGAAAGCGTAGGCCCGCTGGAAACGGCGCCCTGGCGATGACCGAGGCTGCTGCAGGAAGGGCCGCAACACGGCCTTTGCCCCGTGGACGGCGAATGGTCGCTGCTTGTCCGGGCTCGGCTTGGAACTCCTGGCTCTCCTGGCAAATGGCAGTCGCACTCCTGGCAGTAGTTCCTCTCTGGCCGAAATATCGTCTCGTCCAGTCTCTCCTTAGGCGGCCCTAATTACTCGAGAGCTTGCGCCTAACTGCCCTTCTTCTCTCTTAATTTCTAAGCCTCGCGCCGCCGCGCTCCCACTTCTCTCACCGTCAAAAATCAGTCAAAATCGCTCTCTCTCTCGCTCTTCTCGCTCTCACTCGCACTCACGGCGACACCTCGCCGATCGTCGCGCTCCTCTCTCCAGATCCTGCAACGACACAAGTATGTAGTCGCTATATAGCGTACACTTGGTCGCTGCGTTCACGCGAGGAGAGTGCCGCACACAGGGCCAGCGAGCATCGCTATAGCCCTGTCACAGCCCCCCGCTAAGCCGCGGAAGCCGCAGGCACCCGTGGGTTACCCAACGCAACCCTCCTCGCTCGAACACAGGACCAGCGAGAAAACGACTTGAAACTATATTACAAAATCAAAATCATAAAAACTTCAATAATTCAGCTCGCCAAAACCTTCAAAATCAATAAAAATAAAAATAAATAATCAAACAGAAATAAACATACCATACACATACAAAATAGAAAATAAAATAAAATAAATCAAAACAACATAAAACCCTTTTAAAGTGAACAGATTTGGTACCTCAGCCTTCTCATGCCTTATCTGGGGCTGCGCCCTTGCCAATTGCACTGGCAGCGAGCTCGCACGCCTGGCGTTGGATTCTGGTCACCTCTTAACTCGTCCGAGAAATAAAAGAAATAAAATAAACCATACAAACATCACACTCACACAAACATCACACAACAAACAAATCACTCTCGACTGTTACCTTTCCTCGTACCTCGAGGAAGCACGTATCTTTTAAACTCAGATACATGAGCCATTGGTACCTTCTTGTTGTTATTCATGGTCAACATATAAATTCCCGGAGAAACCACTCGCAAAATCTTATATGGACCGGTATATCACGGATCCAGTTTTGCGTTTTTCCCCGCACTCGCGCTTGACAGAGTGTGTGCTCGCCTCAAGACTAGATCGCCGACCGAAAACTCTACGTCTCGACGTTTTCTATCATAATGTTTCTTCTGACGGTTTTGTGCTTCTTCGATATGTCTAATCACAAGATCGCGTAACGCATCAAGTCTCGCCATACGCTCGCTCCAATCCTCGATCGACGAGCGGATGATCGGCGTTCGCGTTTCTACCCCACGACGCAGGCTTTTAGCCTGCTGCGGTTCGCGGCCAAAATTCAAGAACGCCGGCGAGACTTTTGTGCTCGCCTACATCGTCGTATTCAGCGCCTGCCTGAATTCATGCAAATACTTATCCCAATTCCTGTGATCCTGATCGACGAACATCGCCACCATCAGCTTCAGCGTCTTAATCGCTCGCTCGGCGAAATTCGCCTGCTGATGGTACGGCGGACAAAGTACGTGCTCAATCTTGTACTCGTCTAGCGTCGCTCGAAACTCATTCCCACAGAAATTCTTACCATTATCCGTGACAATATACCCCGGTATCTCCCATCGATACAAAATAAGCTCTTCAAGAGCCTGCGCGAGAGCTTTCCCCGTAGCTGACACAAGAGGTTTAAACTCCACGTAATTCGTGAACAAGTCCTGAAACACGACTAAGTATCTGAACCTATTCTTACTCCTCGGGAGTTCAATCACGTCTGCCGCTATCACCAACCACGGTTGCTCAACTACGCGCTTGCTCATGAGGCCCATCGGAAATTGTTGTTCTATTTTATACCGTTGGCATTTCTCGCACGATTGCACGAATTCCGCGATGTCATAGTACATTCCAGGCCATGAATACTCCCTCGCGACTCTATCGTATGTCTTATCTCTTTCGAAATGTCCTGCCGAGGGCTCGCAGTGTGCGTCTCGCATCACTCGAGCTCGGTGTTCTAACGGTACCACCAAGCGCCAACACTGCTCACGGTTTGTAACCGGATCAAGTAACCTATCAGACGAGAATCTATACAGCATTCTGTCTTCCACTCGCCAATTCCGAAATTTATCTGGTCTCGCAAGTACGTCCTTCATGCGCTGCAAGTATTCAGGGTCCTTGATCGTCGCGAAAGCTGCTACTTCCTCGCCGTCCTCATACGCGCGCGATAACGCGTCCGGCGTATGATGAAGGCGACCTTTCCTGTACACGATTTCAAAATCGTACTGTTGGAGTTCTAGAACCCACCGCGCCAACTGACCCGTAGGTTCCTTCTTATTGCGTAGCCAAGTAAGTGCCGTATGATCCGTGACTACC